TCGAAGGCAGCATCTCCCTGGTTCTGTGTTGGACCCTGAAGGCAGCATCTCCCTGGTTCTGTGTTGGACCCTGAAGGCAGCATCTCCCTGGTTCTGTGTTGGACCCTGAAGGCAGCATCTCCCTGGTTCTATGTTGGACCCTGAAGGCAGCATCTCCCTGGTCCAATGGTATCTCTCCATGTGATTTTGGATGATTTATGTCAGAAAATAATCTCAGTGTCAAACGTCTATGATACCAGTGGGGTTTTAACTGACATATTTTATGTCATAGAACAAACCGTTACAAACTCTTCAGACCTTATTTCAGGACAACAACCAAAATCACTTTCAGAAAACCATTGACCTCCAGACCAGCGGACAGGAAGTGAGGAGATACTGCTTCTGTTTCTAAACAACACATTACAGAACATCATGATTGACGTGTCTCTTTATTTGAAGTGTACTCACATTCACACACACATACATGTTCTCAAACATTTGGATCCACCGGCTCAGGTTGAAGAGTCTCTGTGTGAAAGAGTTTGTGTTCTCGGTACAGCGAAGACCTTAAAACGGCTTCAACGCCAAACTCTGGATCCTCCTACGCTTCTAAACTTATGTTTTAAAACTAACTACATATCAAACTCAGTGCAGATATTCATTGAGGTGCAACACCCGAGCTCCAGTCACTCAGAAAGTCCTGCAGGTTCAGACAGCATGACCTCCCTGCTGCGGTCGTGTAACACTCAAAGGTACAGATGAAGCATTCATGATACATGTTATTGTTCCAGAGGTATGTAAGGATGAAGATAGTCCCGTCTCTGAGGCTCTCAGCCGACAGAGGAAAGTCCAACAAAGACAACGGAGACATTCACAGAGAGGTTTCGAGTCCTGGAGGAACCTTGGGGAAGCTCTAAAGGGAGACGACACTCTGTCAGCTTTACCCAAACTGTGGTGTTGTTTCTTTGGCAGATCGCTTAGTCCTGTTGTTTATTCCAGGCGAAACCAACGTCAGTGAGCCAATCAGCACACACCCAGGCTGTGGGCCTCCTGGATGTGTGCTGATTGGCTCACTGAAGCACAACGTCAGTGAGCCAATCAGCACACACCCAGGCTGTGGGCCTCCTGGATGTGCACGGACGAGCGGGAGTGACTTCTTCTTCTGGAGAAGTTTGAAGAGAGAACATACAGAACATGCTAAGGGAAGCCCATCGTGACGGAAACCAAACCAGATTAAATAGAAAGTATTAATATCACCTTTTGGACTGGCTCGTGAAAGTGGTCGCCAAGAGATATTCATTTATTTATGAAAGAAGAGTCCAAAGAGACGGACCTTCAACACAGCTGTACTTCGTATAAACTCAGTGCTGTCAGAACCATGTGACTCACTTCTCTGAAGTACAAAAGTATTATCTACAAAATGATCTTAAAGTTTGACAAGTAAAATAACTCTTCCTGCAGTAAAATGGCCTCTATGATATATATTATATATGATATATATATTATATATCATATATGATATATATATAATATGATATATATGATATATATATGATATTATTAGATCGTGCGCAGCATGTTACAGTTGTAGACAAAAGCAGTTCTGACACACCCATGATTCATGTTTACGACTTTCTTTGTGGAATATATTGATCATTTTACTTTTTGTCCCTGAAACTGAAAAGACTGCACTTGTATAATCTCCAGAGGTACATTATGTTTGACATGTATCCTATGTTTCTTTATTTTGAAGAGGCTTTAGAATAAAAGTAGCTCATTAAAATACATTATCTTCATTTTAATTAACTTTTAGATATGAAAGGGAAATGCTCAGGTAAAGTACAAGTACCTCATAATTGTACAGTACTTATTAAATGTACTTAGTTTCTTTCCAACACAAGCAGAATCCAATTAGAACTCATTATAACCCAGTGGAACACTTTAGAACCTTTATAACCCTTATAACCCTTAATAACCTTTGGAACCATTTGGATCCCATTGGAAGCAATTAAACCCCTCTAGAATCAATGAATACCCATCATAAGCCATTGAAACACTGTGGAACCTATTGGACCCCAATGGAACCCTTTGGAACCCTTTGGAACCCAGAACCTTTATAACCAATTGGAACTCTATAGAACCCTTTAGAACCCTTTAGAACCCTTTAGAACCCTTTAGAAAACACAAGAACACGTCAAAAACCATTGATTCCCAATAGAACCCATTGCAATCCATTCGGAACCTTTCGGAACATTTATAACCAATTGGAACCCTTTAGAACCATTAGGACCCCAATGGATCCCTTTAAACTCATTGGAACCCTTCAGAACCTTTGTAACCCATTGGAACTCTATAAAACCCATTGGAACCCTTTGGAACCCATTGGAACCCATTGGAACCCATAGGAACCCATAGGAAGCCTTTGGAACCCATTGGAACCCATAGGAACCCATTGGAACCCATAGGAAGCCTTTGGAACCCATTGGAACCCATTGGAACCCATTGGAAGCCTTTGGAACCCATTGGAACCCTTTGGAACCCATAGGAACCCTTTGGAACCCATAGTAAGCCTTTGGAACCCATTGGAAGCCTTTGGAACCTTTTTGGAAGCTCCATCAGTTCATCAGGAACCGTTCTTGAGTCTCTGCAGCAGAACGTTAGAACCCCTGGACGTGGCAGTAGGCCTCCAGTGAGGAGAACACGATGTACAGGAGCCACAGGCTGAAGAACAGGCAGCTGGTCAGGATCTTTGGGACCCGCGGCCCGCCCAGCTCGCCCCCGATGGAGGGCCGGCGCCGGTACAGGAGCACGCCGATGCAGATGAAGGCGAAGATGCAGAAGAGCGTGACGGAGAACGCCAGGGTTCCCGGGTCCACGCGGAACTCCTCGCCGTGGATGGCGTGGTAGATGGCGGCGATGGACCAGGCCACGCCGATACCCAGGAACACGTTGACGGCGTTACTTCCTGTCACGTTGCCGATGGAGGCGTCAGCGTATTGGTCCTGGATGGCAGACACCTTACTGGCAAAGGTGTCTGAGGGAGAGAGAGAGAGAGAGAGGGGTTTGAGAGGAACTACAAAGCAAGACCCACAGACAGGGTGTCTTTGGGTCACAGCCTGAAACTCTAGATAACGGGTTCTACTATCTAAGTTAAGCTATCTCTTCTCCACAGGCTCTGATCAGGTTCTCATGAAAGAACTAACTTGACTAGTTTTTCTGGAAGTCTCAAACTTTGAAACATCATACTCAACTGTTGCATCAGAGTCTTTAGACCAATGTTCAAAACAGCATTAAAACTAAGCGTGGACTTTCAGGCTTCAAATCCTTTGAAGTAAACGTCACATTGATGAATGATATATGAACTATGAACATACAGTATCCCATGGGCGAGATTTATAGGATGCTTTTTTTTACTGCTCAGAAAAAACCATGTTGGTTTATCAGACGGGGGGGGGGAACTATACAGTACGTTCACTTTAGGAACAGGTGTACATTTCATTTTTAGGATTTGAAATTGCAATAATAGTTTTCGATTTTTCATCTATCCAATTTATTGTTTCACTTTTCAAATTCTGTCTAGTTTTGTCTTTATTTGGTTTGCTAGTTTTATAGTTTAGTTTATCAGAAGGGCCTGTTTCATATTTAGATTGATGTATTAACGTGAATAAAAAAGGCAAGTCTCAGACCTGGCACGGATGTTCCCAGAGCCACGAACACCACGGCGGTGACGGAGTCTTTGAGGCCCACGGTGCATCCGAAGTGCGACGCAAGGTCTCCGATGACGGCGGTCAGCAGGCCGATGCCCGAGATGGAGACCACGAAGCAGGCCCAGCCGTTCAGGTAGTCCGTGGGGGGGACCAGCGCAAACAGAATCTTCCAGAAGACGGTGAGGAAGTGCATGACGTAGTCGAAGCAGGAGGGCAGCTTCTCCTCGCCACATCCATCTTCATCATCATCACCTGCAGAGGAGGGAGCAGCGCTTAAAGCCTGGGGGTAACTAAGTGTTTACTCAACATTTAGTTTACAATAAGTGCAACCATGAAGATACAAACCATGCAAACCATTGAAAGGGCTAACCTATCAGCTTGGAATAAACCAAAGCATTACTTTGCTATACCTTTCCCTTGTGAGTGTTTACTGGCTCAGGTGCAGTGGACAGGTGTGTTCTTAGTGGAGGATGTGTAGACTGTCTGCTGTCCTGGTATCAGTGGGGATCTCACCTTTACCTGTCCTCTACCTGCAGTTCTAGCCCTGGAAGGGACAGCTGAATGGTTTCTAGAGTTCTCACCGGAGTTGACGGTGATGGCGTCCACAAACTGTTCCCTCCAGCTGTTCGTCCCGATCACCAGAGCCAGGTTGGTCTTCTTCAGGATCTTATCCACGGTGTTCTGAAAGATAAACCCCCCTCACTTGATTACTGACATGAGGACAACTCATTTCTATATTACAGCTTGTCTGACATGTTATGATCACATGAATGACACAGTTAGTGGCATCAACTCCTCAAAGTGGATTTTAGATGTTTTCTTTCCACTAGTCTGAAACAATATGTTATTGATGCAAATTATCCAAAAAACATTTTACTGTCTCCACTTTCGTTTTGAGGCCAAGCAACCGGGTGATCTTGTTCTTTCTGATGTACGCATATCATTAGGAAATGATCAGTGGGTGATCAGTTTGGTCTCCTATCTGATGATCAATATGTTAGTAGTTTAGTATGTTCAGATTTGACTGTTGTTCTGAAAGATAGAACTTTAGAATTACTGACATTAGGATATAACTATTTTTATATCACAGGTTTTCTGACATGTTGTGTTTATCCCCAGGTTCTACTGAAGCCCAGCTGCTCGGTGTTGTGACTCGACAGATATGTTAGGTTTAGTTATGTTTTTACTCTAGTTTTGTGTTTTGATCTTGCCACTTCCTGTTTTTATTTTGAAAGTAATCTTTCCTCTCCTTCCAGATCCCACATTTCCTGCCTTTGTGTGTTTCCCGCCCTTGAGATTGCTTGGCCCTGCCCTGATTGTTTTCACCTGTGCCCATCCCCCTCACCTATATATAGCCCTGGAGTTTCTTTGTGTCAGTTCGTTATGTTTCATGTCGTGAGAACCTGGGCCTTTTTGACTCCAGATACCTACCTTGACATTTAGACCTTTTGCCAAGTGAGTTTTTGTGTTGCTGTATAACTTACCTTTGGCTATTCAACTGCTTTCTATTTTTTGAAAGTACGATTTAAGTTTTGTTATTAAAGAACATTCTATTTTTGGACAACTGTCTTTGAGTCCTGCTTTTGGGTCCTACGTCCTGTGTCTCGGTCCATAACAACGTGTACTGTGAAAACTACACTGCGCATGCTCAGTGTTTTTGTACTCAAAGTGTGTGGCAAAAAAATGATCACAAGTGGGGCAAAGTGCTCGCAGCCCCACTAAAACGTCATCTCATAATTCAGAGAGCTGATTGGCTGTAAGTACGTGTGCCGCGAAAAGTGTAGAGTGAAGAGGAGACGAGAGAGAGC